AAATCGCATGTTCAATTGAAGAGGAACTTACAACCCTGGAGGCTCAATTAAAGAGATTTGAGGTTGAACTAACGCCACTAGAGGCTGAAAGCTGGCCTCAAACCGGAAAACAAATCCTTAAATCTGGCTCTTCGATTTCCTTTTTTTTTATTCCCATCTCAGAGTGAGGCACTTTTCCACTTGAGCGCAGGCACATACAGCATAACTAAGGATAACTAAGGATCAGGCCAATACGACAATTGTCCACTCATGGTCGTGGCATATCAACTGCTCCAAGTGCCCCCCATTGCCCCCCCTGCCACCCCTTTTAGCCGGCTCAATGGCCGCCAGGTCAGGTTGGTTTGGCTCCAGCCAAAGCCAAAGCTAAAGCCAAAGCTGAAGCCAGAGCGCTCAATTAGACCACAAGGCGTGGTGGTGGGCTGTGTATGAGGTGTATGGTGTATGGGGGCGTGGCCCAAGTAACAAACGATGAAACGGAAGAGGTGGAAAACTGGGAGTTTTGCCAGCAAATAAAAATATGACACGAGCTGGCATTTCTCTCGTGCATGTGAACCAGTTGACACTCACGCATTCAGGCATTTTCTCGCTGTGACCAAGGAAGGGGCTATATATGGGTGTGGCAGAGGCGTGACACGGGGGAGGAATGGCGAGGGCGGGGGGGTAGCTGGGTTTCCCCCTCCCACTTCAACTGGTGCGACAATTGTGCCGCTGGCCACACGAGGCGGGAAGCTCTGGCCAGGACTGCTCATTTACACTTTGCCACATGTCCCAGTGTCTCGGAAATCTGTCGCATCAGCACTAAAGTCCCAGACTAACACACGAGGTGTATGTGCGACATTCCAGGGGCGGAGTGCCAATGTGGAGGGGGTGGGGGGTGTGGTAAAGAGGCACAATGGGTGGGGCAAGTCAAATGGTTTGCTGCATTGTTGTGCGAGGTATCTAGCTGCCTAGAGTTCCAGTCCCAGCAATTGGATCTTGGCTTCTGGTTTTACATTTAATGATTGCCCGAGCACTCTATTTTCACATATATAATAAATATAATAATCGTAAAAAACCTCACATAAGACCAACAAAGTTTGAACTGGGTTATGGTTTATTTGGCACTTAATCAAATTCCTTTTTCCTTAACATATTAACCAGCTCTTAAGAAATATTACAAATGTTATTATACCTAATATTCTAATTGTTGTTCAAGGTAGTCAATAAACGATTTATTATTTATTTGTTATTATAACACCCAGCAAGTAAATTAGGATAGGGGGTACCAACTAGTTGGCTTTCCTACGTGAGGTCATGTTGGCTTCAGCGTGTGTGTGTGTTGGTGAGATGTTAAGCAAATACAGTTATACTAGTTGTACAGTGGTGTCCGAACCCATTTTAGCCCCCAGAAATACCCTCCCCCCATTTTCACAAGCGCCGCGAGAAGTAAGTTTTGCTGACCATGACAACGACCACATTGGGGGATGGGCGTAAAAGTGAGTGGGAAAATGGGGTGGCAAAATGGTGAAATGAGCACGTTCCATGGCCAGTCAGTCGATGGCCAGTTGTCATTTGGCCCTTATCCACCCACCGTTCCCCCGAAACTATGTGTTTAATTCTGTTTACTTTGAAGCAAAACATGGCATTCCCAAGTGTGTAGTTTTAAATGTCAGCAGCAAAAGCACACAGACACAGGCATTTTCGGCCGCAAACAGAAACTGATTTACTTTAAGTTTCAGCAAAAGAAAACAAGAAACCAAATCAAGGCCGAAAGGAAAATATTTTGCTGATGGACAAAAAAAAAACGGGGGGGAAATTGAAATGCAAGGAGAATGCCACTTAGGCAACTAGCAAAACAATTAATTGCCAGCAATTTCCGTTTGCCTTGTGCACAATCAGAAATTATATTAAGCCACCTGAGCCAGAGATCTCGGATCCCTGTCCCTGGGAAATTATTTCAAGGCACCGGCAATATTTACTCTAATATTGAGTTTCAGCCGTGGCACTTTGTTTCAATTAAAAGCCTGAAAATGCTTGCTGAGCTGGGAAAATGGCTGGAATTTCAGATTGGCTGAGGGCACAACCCATCCAACCCCCTTCCACCTGACCCTAACAAAATTGCACCTGCCTGAACCGTCAATTTACACAGTGACAAAGTAATTTTTAACCATATTTGTTTACTCCCCCTCTTTGTTGGCCGAAAATCAATATAATATTATCATCAGTAATTGAATTTGTCCCGTAAAAAGTGCAACGAAGAGTAAATTCACTCTCAGCAGGGTAACTAAAGTAGCCGAAGCCGATACCTATGCCTATACGTTTTTAAAGGCGGAATATATTACATATAAAAAATGTTATATACTTATTTTGTTAGCTATGTGCATAACCTTTTCAACATAATGATTTTTTAGATATATGTTATCCAATATGAAATTTAAAATCTTGTATTTTTAAACCTTTGCAATGAGCATTATAATTTCATTAAGATGTTTGCAAGGATCAAGATTAGTTGACTAAATCTCGAATCTTCGGATAAATTAAAAAATAGCGAATAGTTTGTGTAGAAACTGAAGGACAGACGGACAGGCTAGAACAACTATACCAGTGATACTGATCAAGAACATACATATATACTTTATAAGGTTCCTGCGTTGCAGACTTTTGACTGAAATAATAATATACTTAGGAATAAAAATAAACTTAATATATAATATATGTATTTTCGCATAAAGCTCTTATAAAAGGCTATAGCTGAAATACCGTGCCTACTTTAACTGACAATAAATTTATTCATAATTATCGGGCCAGGCACAATATTGATTAGTTGGTTAATCACGGAGAATCGAGTTGCGCAAACTGTGTCACTTATGGTAAAGACAACAAATGATTTATGTGTGGGGAAGGCGAGGAAAGGGGCTTGTCCTCGGATGTAAAAGGGTATACCAATCAGAAGATCTCACCTATCAGATCTGACCCACGAAACTGGAACGGCGACTGAGAAAAGTGTGGAAAGTGTGATAAGTGTTTGAGTGCCAAGTGCACAAAAGAACCCGCATTATTAAGGGGCGACTGCGGGCCAAAGGACTAAGTACTGAGGTCCTGAGGATTTGGACATGGACTACAGATAGGACACGTATCTAATAAAACGCCTTGCACACGTTCCCACACTAATGTGCTGCCTTCGATCCAGCCATCGCAGCTCAAATATTTGGGCCTGCTTTTGTGAGCTCATTAAATTTCGTCAATGTAAATATGTGTGGCGCAGCAAAGGATGGCGTCGTCGAATGCAACACGTTGGTGTTGGTCCTTCGTGTCCTTTGGCGGCACGAAGGGGGATGGCGATGGAAAGGGCGTGGTGAGGGGGACGGGAGCAAGCGACAACCGGCATATGCACTTCCGGCACATTTCCTGTTGCGACTACTAGTCCTCGTCCTGCGGCTCGTCCTTCGTTCTCTGAATTTATTACGTGCAAATGTAAATAGCGGCACGTGCGGGCTCCGTATCCTGCGCTCCACTGTCCTTCGCCTTTGAAAGAGCTCCTGTCCTAGTCCAGTGCCAAGAAAAACCCGAATACACTTGAGGAAATTATATTAAAATATCTTTTTAAAAACATTGCTTGGATGTAAATATTAACCCATGAATTAAATTGTGGTTTACAATAGACGTAGCAAGAAATCCTCTTTTTAGCCAAACTACAAGAATATCGATATGCTCTTCGTTCTGATTATAAAACCTGCTTATCCTTAGTGAGCAAATTTAAGTTCCTTCTATTAAAATATTTAAAAATCTTTGAAGGATTTTTGTTTTTGGATTAGTCAACAATTTCTAATCCAGTTAGAAGTCTTTTTGGCATACGAACTTTTAAAAACTTTTTCGAACAGTATTAGCCAATTAATTCAATATTATTGCTTTGTCCTCCCTATTTATCTTTATGAAATGATTAATTTACTTTAAAAAATCGAAATGATTTCAAACTGGGCTGATATTTTTCTTTTCTCTGTATACAAAAAGTTCCTTCTCTTTGTTTGCCTTCTGCGAAAACCCATTGCCGATCCTTCGCGTGGCTTCTCCTTTGTGGCAATAAAAATGTTGCTGTCGCCAAACAAAGGAGGGGCAGGCTGCTGTCTGCAGTCTGCAGTCTGGAATCCTTCGAGCAAGTCCCGAGTCCTGTTTTCCGTGTCTCCGTGTCGCCTGTCGACTTGTTGCCACAGTGGGCATGCAACGCTCTGTCAATAGATAATGCAGCTACAAGAAGCAGGCCAACAGATACCAGGGCAAACACTGCAATATGTACGTACGTCTATTTAGATAATTTATTTCGACAAATTGACAGCGCAGCCAAATCGAGACGGGAATAACAGTCAGAGGAAAAAAGTAAGCAGCAAAGGAGCTGAGTTGTGCTAATCGGTGGTCCTTTTGTGGAGGACTGAATGGCATTCGCTATTTCATGTATTTCTTAGCTGACAATGTTCTTGGATAATGACACAAATAAAATGTAGTGCTATGCAAGGTATTCAAGGACTTTTGTTCGCTGTTGTGGCATTTATCTTTGAATTGGCCATATCAAGTGTCTCATATTTCTATTATGGGTTATTATATCAAGATATTGTCATTTCCGATCCCATAAGTACAAATAAGGTATATCCCACAAATACTTTCTTAGCTCGTTTAGTTTTAAAGTTGAGTATTAACACTTTCGTAACTTTCATCCTATGGCTGCCATATAAACGATATTTAAAAATTAATCTTGTAATTAATTTGGGCAGTGTATAAAAGAGTATAGTATAACTTGTCCAATTGTTAACAGTTTTTTTAAGCGAATGTAGCTTTAGTTTAAAAATCTTGCAGAGGCTGCGACTTCGTCCAATAGTTTACATAGGAACGGTCTGGATCTTCGTAGCTCGACTTAACTTTAACATGTACCGTGTACTATGATTAATCTATATTTTGAATCATTGATTTCAGAACTAAGCCGATCAAAATGGATCCATTTTGAATATAACCTCTTGTTTTATTTGCAGCACCTTCAGCAAATCAAGTCAAGACATGCCAAGGGAAGCTAAGACAGTCTTATGATGAGCTTGCTGGTGGTCAAGGAAAGCTGCGAGCGGATCGCCGACATCAGCATTAGCCAAGAGCAATATACCGATTCCCATCGACATCTGAACCGAGTAGCCAATCATCGCAAGCTGGCGCAACTCGAGATTGCGGCAGGTGGATCTGCACTGGGAACGGGACTGGGAGGCTCCGGCACGGGGTCGGGAACCGGAGGAGGATGTGGTCCAGCTCTTCGCTGGCAGTTGCTCCTACTCCTGCTGCTCTGCAACTGCATCGGTAAGTAAACTGCAGATCGTCGAATTAACGAGCTCTGGCTCTGAAGCGTTGGGCAAATGCCGATAAATGTTTTCGCTTTGCTTTCTTTTATTGCGATAATCCTGCTCTATCGAAAGGTTTGAATATCGGTAATCGAACAACTTATTGTCATCGATGTACATATATTCCTGCTTTTACGATGTTACGCTTGCTTGATTTTCCCGGTTAGATCGATGGGTGTTTCGATCTAATTGGTTCGTTCAGCTTAACCTTATTGATTTGCCTATCGTTGACAGGCCGCTCGCTATCCACACAAATCCACTCATACATAAGCACATACACAGAGAAAAATATTGCCGATTTTGTTTTAAAATGGATATGATCAGTGGCATGGTTCATACAAATTATAATGTTATTCCCCAAAAAAAAAAACATACTACCATGGAAATTAAAAAATATAATGCTTTAAAATGCTCGTCTTGTTTTTCCCCAGTCATACGTGCTTTAATTTTTTACTTTACTAATAGTTCGTTATTTGTTTTGTAAACATTTCATCATCTGAAATATTTTTTGGTTAAAATAAAATTAATGTTTAAAATAATGTATAAAAATGATTTATGAATAAGGCTGCCCAAAAAATTCCAATAGCAGTCTAATAAGTGTGGCGACCAGTATTGACATAAATTTAAATTTTTAAATTAATTTAAGTTTAATTTAAACACTAACTTGGCAAGCCTGTCCGATAATTAGTCCGATCGTTTCAATGACAGCTGTGTATTATAGACGCTCAGACCTGTTCGTTTCCAACTAATAGGATTGATCTTATCAAATAATTTTAAAAGCTTTTTTAAGTATTAGCAATTTTTTCAGTTGAATCAAGGTTTATTTTCAATATCTGATTTACACTATAAAAATATTAAATACAACATTTACAAACTATATGTATATATATGTATATATGATTTTTGGTAATTGTTATTAAGTTGCTTTGAAGTTTTTTTCTCTGTGCTAAAGACTTACAGCCACCCACACATACATACATGTGTAAAATTGTTCGAAATTGTGTTAATTGTTCAATCAATGTCTTCTCTTCATGGAAATGTCAATTGAAATGAAGATCTTACCGTTTCGAACAAAATCTCCTCAGTGGGCGCCTTCGAGCCGGACTTTGTGATTCCGCTGGAGAACGTGACCATAGCCCAAGGTCGGGACGCGACCTTCACGTGCGTGGTGAACAACCTCGGGGGTCATCGGGTGAGTGGTGACGGTTCGTCAGCCCCAGCCAAGGTATGTATCGGTTTCAGGCGCAGCGTTGAATTCTCGACTTCCATTTCGTTTCCTTTGGTTCTGAGTTCTCTTTGGTTGTGTTTTTCAGTTTGTGGCTCTTTCGTTCCGTTTCATTTGCCATTTCAAGTGCACAATATTCAAATAACTTAATACAGTTTTAACGATTTTCCAATCTAAAAGGCACCAATAACAATAAAGAGTTCGAAACTGCACCACAATTATCGCAATTATGTAACTGTTAAGCGCACCTATTCCTATATCCGCATATCTATAGTTAACTACCAGTATAACAGCCATAGCACCATACAATATTTACGATATATATAGTACAATACAATAAAAAATATCTATGCATACATCCCTCTGTATATAGAGCACTCTGCATATTGAACGACCCGATGCACAGCAACAACAACAGCAACGGCAACGGCAACAGCAACAACTGAGCCAAAAGGACCAAACAATAACAGTAGGGAAAATAACAACAATTTCATTGAATCGATTCGAATCGCATAGCATCGCATAGCATCGCATCGCATCGCATCGACGAATCGAGCGGCACAGCATCAAAATAAATTTAAATAAACATGGCACAATTTGTGTGATGCGAAACCGAGACCGAAAAATGCATAGCTTATTGTTTTTATCATCGTATTATATTATTATTAGCACTCACATTTAATTTATAACACTCATAAAGAGGGGTATCCGGGGATACGGGGATCCGGGGATCCGGCTTCTGACTCCGGCATTGTCCCAAAGATTTTAAGCGATAAAAGAGTATTGCACAAAAAACCGCCATCTGTAAGCGATTGTTGTTAGCAACAATAAACAATCGCCCATCGTTAAAAAGCAAACAAAAAAGTACAATAATAAATGTAAAATTGCTATTATTCAGTGCCTCCCAGAGGGCGATGTACATACATGAGGTCGCATCGCGTAAACAATGGAAACAAATTAAGTCATTGTATCGGCAATGATTTAATCTCTTTAAAGCCTGGTTATCCCTTCGTCGCGAAAGTCATTCGTTCTAAGCGATCAGCATGGGATTTTATGGAATTATACAAAAATCCATCATCGGTATGCGAAGCTACAATTCGCTAATCGATAACTTTTACTTTCAAATGCATGCTTAAATATTACACAAATATTTTATTCCGGCTAAAAGAAAATCTGAAAGATACGTAAGCAAAGTTTTGTTGCGTATCAAAAACAAGTGCTATCCAAGGGTTTTTTGTTTAATTGGCGACATTAAAGTGAAAATGGAGGACACCTTAAATCTCGTTTAAATCTTTTTGCTTTTAAAGAATGCGTTTCTGTGTGTGCAACGGCCTCTGTATTACGGCATACCCATTCATAAAAATCAAAGAGTTTTCGAGGTAATAATACATCCAATCCAAAGTCAAGCAAACGTTTATTGAAAAATATTTTTAGTTTACTTAAATTAAGTCTCAGATGTCTTAAACAATTATTATTATTAAATGTCTTACAAAAATGCATGAATATAATATTTTGTTTAGTTATTAACTTTCCACTATATCACTTCGCCATTGAGTATTTCAATATAAGTAAAGGGTATTTGGCAGTTGAAATGCTCGCCTTCTATATTTATTACCCTGTCTCTCTGCTTGTTTGCGTCGCGCGTCAAAGAGTGTTAATCAACGAAATGGGATCATAAATAAAAACGCCATTTCATATAAATCCTTCGATGTTTCAATCAAGCAAAAACAACTGAGCCAAACGACTGAAACATGGCTGATGTGAACAGAGGGAAAGAGCGGAGTAGTGCTCTTGTCATTTTATTTAAACAATAAATAAATACATATAATAGCAAAGTAAAATGGCTGGACAATAATGTAAATCTAACGATTGATTTGTTCAAATGTAATTGGTGGTAAATTCTGGTCAAGCTCAAGAACAATACTTTCAAGCTGCGCCAAGTTTGGGATGGAGAACAAGTCGAACCCTTATTTGGGCATTTCATCGAAAATATTAACCAGCCCAATAATAGAGATATTTTTTCTCGTTGCTTTTCTTATAAAATCATAGAAAATCAAATTATTTAAATTATTGACAAATAATTTTATTAATTTGTATGAGAAAACTAATTTATATTTGTTAAACTCAAGAAAATTCAAATATACAATTAAATCCATTGCTTGCACGAAGCAGAAAGGTTTCGTTTAATCAAAAGTAAAGTAAAATATTTTTCTTCTATTTTTTAAAATGCTTGGAAACACACGCGCGTAATTTTTGGAAATGTTCATGTACTTAATTTGTTTGAACTTTAAAATACAATATAACCAGCTAGCTTTCCTCCCAAAAATGGCCACCTATAAATATGAACGGGGGAATATTCATATACGCTTATCGATTTGGTTTAGTTTAGGACTAGTGACTAAAGCCAGTGCTGAGTTAAGTGGGTTGGTGTGTGGCAATCCCATTAAAAACATTTTTGCAAAGTGTGACCATGGTCAAATACAATGCAATCCACTTAACTCCTTGCCGGCTATGCATATTTAAAGATTTCTTTTGCAGAATATCTTTGGATGAATTTGCGAAACGCAACTACTGCTGCTCATCCATTTGTTTAACAACGATGCCAACAACAACAACAATGCGAACAATGCGAAATTCATGGCATTGTTTTTATTTGCGCGTTGCCCACTCCGTAGCACTCACGTTCAGCCTCTATATGTATCTCTGGCCCTTTGTTTGTAATTTCTTTCTCACTTTTTCGGTTCGTTTTTTAGCCCACTTTCCTGGGCATCTTTTACTGTTTTTATTTTTGGTTAGTAAAATACAGAGAAATATTAATAAAAATAAATTCAAGCGCACCGAGTTCAAACCGAAACAAACTTTGCACCATTTTTGTATGTATATTATCAACAACAATATATGTATGCGTGTTTGTCTGCGAGTGTGCGAGTGTGTAACCGAATGTGTGAGTGTGTGCGTGAGTTGTGCTTCATGTAGTCGAGTTGCCCACGTAGTAACTGTAAACTTACTTTATGACATTTGCTCGCTTTATTTGCATTTACATTTGAAAATTTTTTACAATCCGCTTTACATTTCTTCTCAACTTCGATTTTTTTGTTGAACTCCTCTCCTCTTTGTTTGCCTGATTTTCGTCACAATCCGTTTGAGCCTTTGTTTAAAATCCCAACGGCCTGACCACCACTCCAAAAATCCCCCACTCCATTTACCCCGTCCCATCCCATCCAATCCCCATGCATTACTCAATAAATTTGCTTTATTGAGTAAATAAATAAAGCGCCAGTGCCGCCGTCGCACTGCAACATCAAACGTTCGTCCTGTCTGCTGTCCATCGGTGTTTATTTTCTGAGCGGGCTCATAACCCATCACCCCCACTCCACCTTTACAAACTCCCACTTTTCGCCCCTTCCCGCTATTGACACACTCAAAAAAAAAAATCAAAAGAGAAAAGAAAAAAAGAAAAACGTAAAAAACGAAGGCTGGCTCTCAGCTGTATTGGCATTCCTGCTTATTGGATTGCCGGATCCGCGACAATATAAACCTGCAAAACGGCTGTCGAGTTGGCAGATCACGAAGAACTAATGGCAAATATTTTTTCACTTTTTAGTCAAAAGTTATATCAATCTGCAACTATGAAAAAGAGTCAAAGCCATGGGGATTTGAGTTTCTAGCTGTTACAGATTCAACACAAAAAGTTGTAAGACCTTTTTATACGCACTCAGATTATTGTTCAGCTCACAAAAAATGTAGCTTCTTCAAAGGGACCTCAAGCACTAATTTAATACACTCAAATTAAAATAACAAAATATCAATAATTAAAGTTTGATACCAACTACCAATTTTATGGGCATTTAAGCTTATATTGTAACCATAACAAACATAAGTTATAAAATTAATTGGTCTAATAACTAAAACTCTCAACCAGTTATTTTTAAGAATTGGGGAACACTAATGCTTATTGATATAATTTTTAACATAAAAGCTCTTTTGGAACTTAAGAATTTAAATACTGTTTCTCAACCTTAAACATATTTCTAAAAGTCTAATCATTTAAAATCACCGTTTCATCAAATAAATAAACGTGAGACTAATATTAAAAACAAAGAAGTGTAAGGCTCTAATTATTTGGTGACAAAATTGCTGTATTTTTATTTAAAAACAAAATTCATAGTCAAAATAAAATTCAGTTACCAAATAAATAGGTCTAAATAATAAAACTGTTAATTGAAAACTTTTTTCTTAAAGCTATATATATACGCTACTTCCTCAGAATAATGACTTGGGAATTCTAAGCCGCGAAGACACCATTCGGAAATGGAAAAAATTCGTACAGGTTAGAGGATTTTACGTAATACACAGCCTTTCTGTCCAGTTTTCTCCTGAGTGTACCGATCCGACTTTATCGTTAGTTCCTTTTCCACCGTTCCCCGTTTCACTTTCCGGATTTGCGAAACCCGTTTTCGTTTCGTCCGCACAAAGCCGCTTAAGCCTATTAGCTAAAACCCGTAGACTGCGCTCAGTCGGCACATCATAATGTTAATTAAAACTAGGCGGAGCAGAGGAGCAGGGCGGTGGCGCAGGGGCTAGGATTAGTGGGATGGAAGATTGTGAGTGTTGCAACATTTGCCTGCCTTGCACCAAACCATCCCAAACAGACATACATTTATGTACGAGTAAATACATATCCTTTAGTCGTTCTCCTCCTTTCCCTTGACGTTAATCCACTCTTTTTTCTAATTGTGCATGCGATGTTAATGCCAACTGATTAGCCGCTTCACAACGCACCGCCAACTGCACCCATTATTCATGACTCTTGGTTTCCTTGTGTTTCCCTTCGTTTCTGTCTATCTCTCTCTCTCTCTCTCTATCTAACCTCTAACCTCTAACTGTCTCTGTGTGTGTTCGCTGCACATGTGAGCTTTACTTCCCATTGTATGTATGTTTGTTTTATCTTTGCTCTTTGGTTACGAAAACGAAAAAAAAAAAAGAAATTGTATGGAACTGCATAAGAAATACGAAGCGATTGCATAAGCGCAAAATGTTAACTAATTGTTGAATGTTTCTTCTCTCCACGAACGCAAACTGAAACTCATATCCACAAAAAAACGCTAAAATCCATTCGCCAAATGGCCAACGATGGACGCTGAAACCCGAAAACCGCAAACCCAATTCCACTAATTGCACTTGAAATAACCCTTTTCATATCCACCAACCATAACAACACCACCAACAACGACTCTAACAATCTGGACTCGATGGCAAAACCACCGGAAAAAAACCCAACCCGACACAAACCACCCGAAAACCAAAAACTTGCAAAAACTTTGCCACTGCTCCTGTGCAAAATGGAAATGGCGTCAAATTGCGTTGACATCTGACACTGACCAAAACAAAAATGCCAATAACAATGCTACACCAATACGATTCAACAACGAACTGAAATTTAACCCCAAACACTACTATCAACACCAACCTTTGTTCTTTTGCAACGACACTAACACAAATTCGTAACATTCCGATAACTATCCTTCCCAAAATTTCAACACACACTCACCAATACTCCAAAACACCAACCACTTTAAATTTTTATATGACCACAAATTGATTTAAACGGTTTCGTTGGTTCTATCTTTTTTGGAATTAAAAATGAAATAATGGGTAATTCAACATCAACACGAATCTTCACCATTCAACAACAATAACTTGGGAAATTTAACAACAACACAACCACAATATCAACCACCACCAACCGACAACCGACGGTGACAATGCGCAAATGCTGCCAATAATGGCATTAACTAAATGTGGTGGCCCCAAAAACTTTTTCTGTGGGTGGATATCAAACTGCAATTTCCGAACATCTGGTGTCTGCTCGTACCCATACGTATATATCCTGAAACACAAACACAAACAACAATTTGACATGCAACAACGACCAACCGTTGTCTTTATCAACACACACACACACACACTCACACACACACACACCCACTCACGCACATTCAAACCGACGCTGTCATCAACTCAACAACAACAATGGTCATCCCTTTATCCCCGCTTCCATTTCCCATTTCCCCGCTTTCCCCCGATTTCCCCCGATTTCCCCCGAACACCGCCCCGATTCCATTTGGCAAACTGGCACCATCAGGTCGCCTGGATTAAGGCCGATGCCAAGGCAATCCTGGCCATACACGAGCACGTGATAACCAACAATGATCGATTATCGGTGCAGCACAACGACTACAACACATGGACGCTCAACATACGCAGCGTCAAAATGGAGGATGCCGGCAAATACATGTGTCAAGTCAACACGGATCCCATGAAGATGCAGGTGAGTGCTGCGATTCCAGTGCGGGTACTCAATGACCTCCCCCGGAAAAACATATCATTTGTTCGCTGACGTGACTATACTAATGGTCACACACCTAGTTACACTACAAAAACAAAGGAGGCATGGGGCTAACCACAAAGAGACATGAAATAGTGAAAGGAAAGCCAGAAAGCCATGCCTTTTTATTGGAATTTTCAGTGCACCAAATCAAAAAACAGGAAGAAAGATATTGTCAATAGTTAGCCAATTACAAAATAAAAACGCCACCAGCAGATGGCGCCTTCTTGTCATAAGTCGAAGTGAAAGGCAAAATTAGTAAATCAAACTGGCTATGTGATGTACTTCTTGAAGAGTAAACAAAACAAGACAAGTGGTACAATGTGCTTCAAAACATCTTTTCTTCCAAAAAAAAAATGTCGGCCTAAATCAATAATGCAAAGCAATACACGTACTTCTTGCAATTGGTTTTTTTTCGGGGCTTATAGCCAGAGGCAGCAAGTATTTGCATCTCCCTTGAAAGCCTTTTATTTTTTTGCTGCAGCCTAATTTCTTGAAACTAACAAAGCATCAAAGCTATCAACTTTCAGTTCCCTTTCCGAAGGGCCAACGAAATAAATTCCGGGAAGAGTGGGGGTATAATGAAATTATTCCTGGAATGTCGGGGCTCCCTCTTTGGCCTCCGCATGTGTGTATATCCAGGCCTCGTCCTTCTTTCCATTTTTTTCCCTCGAGAGTGAGTGTGTGTGTGTGTATGGGGTGACATTTAAACACGATATATAAACAATGAAGCGCTTTAATGACAAAAATAAATAACAAACACAACGCCGTTGCAATGTTGACGTCATCAAAGAGCGCTTATGTGGGTGTGTGTGTGTGTGGGAGGGTGGGAGGGTGGGGAGAGAAGAGATTTCCTTCGGAATTTTCCGGGGGGAATTTTCCTATGTGTGTGCGACGTTTGCCGTTACTCGAGTCGAGCTGAGTTGAATTGAGTTTTTTTTTTATGCAGCACCACCCCACCATTAAACGACATGTGCAAAACGATTGCGTTTTCAATTTCATTTCATTTATGCTGCAAGGATGATGAAGAAAATGTGTGTGGGTATTGGTGTGGGTATGTGTGTGTGTGTGTGAGGGTGGGAACCGCCGGCTTGTAATAAAATCAACCTAACAAAGCGAATTGAGTGAAAAGCAAATATGAGACAAATAAAAAGCAAACAGGCTTGACATTTCTCCAGCTTTCTCGGTTGCCGTCCTGCTTTCAAGCCTTTTTTTACCCACTGTCGGATAAATTTCGCGCTTGGCTCGTTTGGGGTTTTCCACTCTTTTCCGCCAGCCAGTCTCTCCTTTTTTTTCCTGTGACGTCAACTTTATTTTATGACACAACTGTCAACTGCAGCGAGAACAATGACAATGACAACGACAATGATAGCAGCAATTCGGTTATTGTTGCTAGCAGCCAGCAACCGCAAAATGAAACAAATGATAAAAAAAAGGCGAAAAAAAGGTGCAGGATACTGGGTTTTATAATGAGACGACAATTTGTCGCAGAGTGCAGCTAAAATGTTGACCAATACTCGTTAAAATTGCTCTTTTATTGCTGTTAATAGTTAAATGGTTGAAAACAAAAAGCGCAACGATTAAAATGTGTTTTGTTGATATTTAATCTATTTAACAACTCTTTCAATATAAAATCATTTGTATTTTTAACCTTAGAGCATAGCTAAAAAAATTTTGAACATAATTAAGCAAGCTTAAGAAATCCAATGTTGGTCCAAAAATTCTGGGCTCATTCGACTTAAAAGTAAATTTTTATTAATTGACAGACCCAGTGTTTGTACCAAAATCATCTGGGTAGTGGGCGTTAGATCCCTTATCTAGGATAAGCAACCGGTCGTATACGTGATTTTCGACATATCATTGGGGAAATTAATAAATGCTCCCGACATCTTTTCGCCCGCAGACCGCCACCCTAGAAGTGGTCATCCCGCCAGACATCATCAACGAAGAAACCTCTGGAGATATGATGGTTCCAGAGGGTGGATCCGCCAAACTCGTATGTCGAGCTCGTGGTCATCCCAAACCCAAGATCACGTGGCGACGCGAGGACGGAAGGGAGATCATTGCCCGCAACGGTTCGCACCAGAAAACGAAAGGTAAGCAAAAAAAACCCGAGGATTTGCCTATGTTGATTATGAGCGCAAAACAATAAAGTTATTAATTTACCGATAAAAATAAAAGTAGATTAAACAGCTCAAAAAGGGAAACAAGTCTGAATTTATATTTTAGTCCTTCAGATATAGTATGCAAAGTAAACGCATCTTATATTTAAGTCTACCAGCAAATTTAACTTATCGTTCTGCGAAATGCATTTCAAGTATTTCAAACAATTTAAAGTTTAAAGCGAACTTTATAAGCACGAAACCGTACATGCACCCAAGGATTCAAACACCTTGGGTTCACACAGAACACCACTTTGAACTGACTAACCGACCGCATGTACATGTCTGCTATACATAAATATATATATTTCCACAGCACAATCGGTGGAGGGCGAAATGCTGACGCTGTCAAAGATCACGCGATCGGAAATGGGCGCCTACATGTGCATCGCCTCCAATGGAGTGCCGCCGACGGTTAGCAAGCGGATGAAGCTACAGGTGCACTGTGAGTACCCCCCTCTATGCTCATTCCTCTCTACATTTAGTGCCATAGTTAGATACAGCTGCGGTCAAAATAACAGTGGTTTCTTAGTTTATTTAAGAAGCAATCGAAAAAAGTTGGCAAGCTTCCTTTGAAAAACTTTGTTATGTTTCTGTGAAAATAATACTCTTAGCTAAACGATGTAAATATAAAAATCCGTATGAACATAGGTATATATTTTAATTTTTTCTATGCCTTAATGGTACTGCATTGTCGCGATACTATTATTATGACCGCAATTGTATATACATATTGGTACGTCCATATATGATACATGATAAATGGGTGGCGCCACCTGCTGCTGCTGCTGTTGGCCAAGAAAATGCCCTGATTTATGGCAGCTGAAGGCAGCTAATGCCGCATAATAATCATAATGGTAACATATAGCCCGGCTCGGATGTGATGTGCGTGTTCCAGAAGGGGGCATCCATACGAGGAGGAGCCCGGTATCAGAAGCAAACTACTATAACCGGAAGCGGAACAGGAACAGGAACAGAACCGCAGCAATAACGCAGCGGCGGCAAATGCAAGTGTTTCCGTTTCGATATCCGGCAGCTTCCTTCACGTGGCCAGCAAACTTTCCAAATGCATTAGGGAGCGCAAAAACTGAAGAATGGACAGGGGGGGTCAAAGGGGCATTTTTACGGACTGGCAAAGTGGAAAGTGTGTGCGGAGGAAAGAGTGATTCTTGGGGCAACGCAACGTCACGTTTCTGCAGTAAAACTTTAAACTCATGTGAGCTGGTGGGTGTGGGTCTCATGTGAAGTGGTAATTGTTAAGGGCAGTTCCACACTATACGCCCCCCCGGTTCGACCCCCTGAAGACCCACTTACAAGCGCCTCATAGTCCCTTCATACTGTTCTACCTTTCCGCATTAAAGTTAATGAAATTGCCAACAGGGGCAAAAGTTCAAGCGACCACAATTTGGTAAGCGGGAAAGCAATAAGAACGAAAGAATTCAGAAACAATGAGGAATGCTCTAGTCGACTATTGGATAGCCGTTGCTCAACTTATTAATTTCAAACTAAATATGCGCCCAGAAAACAAGCTGGTTTTAGGTGGCGCCATCTGCCGAACTGCAAGGTCACTACTACAAGCTAAGAGCAAGCAGTACTTTTTTTTGGATTTTTGAATCGATTTTGAAAATGTTTGAATACGGCGATATATATATATTGTCCGAATTAAAATATAATTAATAACGGGCCTCTTATATATCTCACACTGTCTTAAATGAAAAAGTCAAAACAGTTGCAGAAATGAAATGATCGGTGGGGGGAAAGCATAAGCTTGGCTAAAAAAAACCCAAAGATCGTATCTGAAAATTATATTGACACGGTCGCCACTGTGAGCCACGCACACAAACACATCGGGCTGATTCTTGCCGCAAGAATTAATTTTCATTTTGATTTTATTTTATCTATGCCACAAATTCGTTTTCGTTTTCCTCAGTCATTTCATTTCCATTTTAACGTGGCTCCGAAGGATGCCTTCCACCTCTTGGTCCCCGGAATTTCAATTCAAAGGTCCATATGTGCGACAAACGGGGAAAAGTCGCGTTGCTTCAAAGTCACCCACGTCTGCTTTAGCGCACTTTTCACCCAACGGCTTGATTGATTCTAATCAGAAAATTAAATGGCTCCTTGAAGGTCCTTTCGCTGGGTACTCGCGCCAAGTGGGTGTGAAAACTTAAGGATATCCCGCCGATTTGCCTTCGACAGCCCTAATTTAAATTATTTAATCAAGGAAGCTCATTTTATTTAAACGTTCGGCGAAGAAATCCAAAATATTTTTTAGATTTCCAAATTTCTGCAAAAAAGTCAGAAACTTGGACAAAAATAATTTTTTTTAAAAACGTCTTTCTAAATTCTGTTTTTTGTGTCAAAAAAAAATTTATTGTTTTAAATCGATCGGGGACTGATGGTATAGGTTGCTAGCTCTTCCAAATAGCAACTCTTTTGACTTTGGGTCTTATTTTGGCAAAGTTACAACAAAAAGACTCTTCAGAAATAATTTTGTTTGAAAAATCGCCAAAAATCACAAAAAACACATTAAAAACTTGGTTTTTGTGTCAAAACCCTGGGAAATAATGGTCAAAATGTGGAATGTCATACACCGTTGAATTCGTAACAAAATTTCCAATCGAATGGCATTCACAGTTAAAATTTTTTCAGATTTTCAAATTTCTGCAAAAAATGATGATGTACCCCCTTACAAAAAATCCAGAAACTTGGACAAAAATAATTTTTTTAAAAAACGTCTTTCTAAATTCTGTTTTTGTGTCAAAACAAAATTTATTGTTTTAGATCGATCGGGGACGGATGGTATAGGTTGCTAGCTCTTCAAAATAGCAACTCTTTTGACTTTGGGTCTTATTTTGGCAAAGTTACAACAAAAAGACTCTTCAGAAATAATTTTGTTTGAAAAATCGCCAAAAATCACAAAAAACACATTAAAAACTTGGTTGTTGTGTCAAAACCCTGGGAAATAATGGTCAAAATGTGGAATGTCATACACCGTTGAATTCGTAACAAAATTTCCAATCGAATGGCATTCACAGTTAAAATTTTTTCAGATTTTCAAATTTCTGCAAAAAATGATGATGTACCCCCTTACAAAAAATCCAGAAACTTGGACAAAAATAATTTTTTTACAAAACGTCTTTCTAAATTCTGTTTTTGTGTCAAAACAAAATTTATTGTTTTAAATCGATCGGGGACGGATGGTATAGGTTGCCAGCTGTTCAAAATAGCATTTTTTTTTGACTTTGGGTCTTATTTTGGCAAAGTTACAACAAAAAGACTCTTCAGAAATAATTTTGTTTGAAAATCGCCAAAAATCACAAAAAACACATTAAAAACTTGGTTTTTGTGTCAAAACCCTGGGAAATAATGGTCAAAATGTGGAATGTCATACACCGTTGAATTCGTAACAAAATTTCCAATCGAATGGCATTCACAGTTAAAATTTTTTCAGATTTTCAAATTTCTGCAAAAAATGATGATGTACCCCCTTACAAAAAATCCAGAAACTTGGACAAAAATAATTTTTTTACAAAACGTCTTTCTAAATTCTGTTTTTGTGTCAAAACAAAATTTATTGTTTTAAATCGATCGGGGACGGAAGGTATAGGTTGCCAGCTGTTCAAAATAGCATTTTTTTTGACTTTGGGTCTTATTTTGGCAAAGTTACAACAAAAAGACTCTTCAGAAATAATTTTGTTTGAAAAATCGCCAAAAATCACAAAAAACACATTAAAAACTTGGTTTTTGTGTCAAAACCCTGGGAAATAATGGTCAAAATGTGGAATGTCATACACCGTTGAATTCGTAACAAAATTTCCAATCGAATGGCATTCACAGTTAAAATTTTTTCAGATTTTCAAATTTCTGCAAAAAATGATGATGTACCCTTACAAAAAATCCAGAAACTTGGACAAAAATAATTTTTTTAAAAAACGTCTTTCTAAATTCTGTTTTTGTGTCAAAACAAAATTTATTGTTTTAAATCGATCGGGGACGGATGGTATAGGTTGCCAGCTGTTCAAAATAGCATTTTTTTGACTTTGGGTCTTATTTTGGCAAAGTTACAACAAAAAGACTCTTCAGAAATAATTTTGTTTGAAAAATCGCCAAAAATCACAAAAAACACATTAAAAACTTGGTTTTTGTGTCAAAACCCTGGGAAATAATGGTCAAAATGTGGAATGTCATACACCGTTGAATTCGTAACAAAATTTCCAATCGAATGGCATTCACAGTTAAAATTTTTTCAGATTTTCAAATTTCTGCAAAAAATGATGATGTACCCTTACAAAAAATCCAGAAACTTGGACAAAAATAATTTTTTTAAAAAACGTCTTTCTAAATTCTGTTTTTGTGTCAAAACAAAATTTATTGTTTTAGATCGATCGGGGACGGATGGTATAGGTTGCTAGCTCTTCAAAATAGCAACTCTTTTGACTTTGGGTCTTATTTTGGCAAAGTTACAACAAAAAGACTCTTCAGGAATAATTTTGTTTGAAAAATCGCCAAAAATCACAAAAAACACATTAAAAACTTGGTTGTTGTGTCAAAACCCTGGGAAATAATGGTCAAAATGTGGAATGTCATACACCGTTGAATTCGTAACAAAATTTCCAATCGAATGGCATTCACAGTTAAAATTTTTTCAGATTTTCAAATTTCTGCAAAAAATGATGATGTACCCCCTTACAAAAAATCCAGAAACTTGGACAAAAATAATTTTTTTACAAAACGTCTTTCTAAATTCTGTTTTTGTGTCAAAACAAAATTTATTGTTTTAAATCGATCGGGGACGGATGGTATAGGTTGCCAGCTGTTCAAAATAGCATTTTTTTTGACTTTGGGTCTTATTTTGGCAAAGTTACAACAAAAAGACTCTTCAGAAATAATTTTGTTTGAAAAATCGCCAAAAATCACAAAAAACACATTAAAAACTTGGTTGTTGTGTCAAAACCCTGGGAAATAATGGTCAAAATGTGGAATGTCATACACCGTTGAATTCGTAACAAAATTTCCAATCGAATGGCATTCACAGTTAAAATTTTTTCAGATTTTCAAATTTCTGCAAAAAATGATGATGTACCCCCTTACAAAAAATCCAGAAACTTGGACAAAAATAATTTTTTTACAAAACGTCTTTCTAAATTCTGTTTTTGTGTCAAAACAAAATTTATTGTTTTAAATCGATCGGGGACGGAAGGTATAGGTTGCCAGCTGTTCAAAATAGCATTTTTTTTGACTTTGGGTCTTATTTTGGCAAAGTTACAACAAAAAGACTCTTCAGAAATAATTTTGTTTGAAAAATCGCCAAAAATCACAAAAAACACATTAAAAACTTGGTTTTTGTGTCAAAACCCTGGGAAATAATGGTCAAAATGTGGAATGTCATACACCGTTGAATTCGTAACAAAATTTCCAATCGAACGGCATTCACAGTTAAAATTTTTTCAGATTTTCAAATTTCTGCAAAAAATGATGATGTACCCTTACAAAAAATCCAGAAACTTGGACAAAAATAATTTTTTTAAAAAACGTCTTTCTAAATTCTGTTTTTGTGTCAAAACAAAATTTATTGTTTTAGATCGATCGGGGACGGATGGTATAGGTTGCTAGCTCTTCAAAATAGCAACTCTTTTGACTTTGGGTCTTATTTTGCCAAAGTTACAACAAAAAGACTCTTCAGAAATAATTTTGTTTGAAAAATCGCCAAAAATCACAAAAAACACATTAAAAACTTGGTTTTTGTGTCAAAACCCTGGGAAATAATGGTCAAAATGTGGAATGTCATACACCGTTGAATTCGTAACAAAATTTCCAATCGAACGGCATTCATTTGCTATTGCAAAAATTAAATATTCATGAAAACATTAAAATTATGATTGACTTGCGTGTATGTTTACATTGAAGCTATGATGATTTGCAGCTCAATTATTTGATCGTTTTTTTTGGCAATTATATGATATCGCTTTTCGATTTTAATAAAATTAAAAGCGTAATTCTAAACCATTATAGAAATGAAATAAAATGTAAGGAACCTTGTTCCTGTTCTAAGCAAAGTTTTAAATTTTAAATTTTTTTTTTAATTTTTGGCTTACCTATTAATCATATGCGGAATCTGCGTAAATGTCTGCAAATCTCCCCCTTCTGCTTCACAATCATCTCACAGACAAACATTTAAGATGAGAATAGAAACAATGGATTTAATGCAAACATGGGCCAGCTGTTGCCACACGAGGGAAGAAAACAAGAGAGACACGAATAATTAGAAGCGAAGAATTCCTCGAGTTGGGCTCTTCTGGGTAGCTCTGGCCATTCTCCATTCTTCGGAGACTTCAGCTAAGCACACAGAAGGCTCTGACGTCACGGGGATTCTTGGTTTCTGTCACAGTTTTTGGGTATAAAAGGGGCATCGCGTAGAGAATTCAAATCAGTTGCGATTGGAGCAAAAGTCTGAGAATGCGTGCCTACATTGCAATTACCCTTCTCGCCCTGGTGGCAGTGGTCGTGGCCCAAGGAGGTGGCGGTCGAGGACGTGCAAGTGGAGGACGTGGAGGACGCGGAGGACGCGGCGGAGGTGGTGGCCGTGGATTCGGCGGTGGCGGCGGTGGTGGGCGCAGCGTGGGAAGATTCGGCGGAGGTGGAAGTGGAGGTGGAGGTGGAGATGGCTTCGGAGGAGGCTTTGGCGGTCCTGGAAGCTTCGGAGGTCCTGGTGGTCGCGGAGGCTTCGGAGGACCTGGCCGATTTGGCGGCCAAGAAGGTTTCGATGGCGGCTTCGGCGGTCCTGGTAGATGGGGTCCACGACCTTGTCGTCCACATCGCCCCAGACCTTGGTTGACCACCACGGAGAGCAGTTTGGTTGACAGCACCACAATTAGCACCGATAGCTCCTCCAGCGACAGCAGCTCCACTGATAGCAGCTTCACTGACAGCAGTTCCACTGATAGCTCCACTGATAGTAGCTCAACCGAGAGCACCACCGATTCGGGATAGATTTAATGACTCACTCGCGGAGTACTAAAAGCTACCAAGAAATGGGAACACAAACTGTATAAAAATAAAATCCTTTTGGCACATTGAAACATTCTTTTTGCAATGACTTTCCTTTATTTACTGTGACTATACTCTAAAATATATTAATTATATATAATTATAAAACAATCGCCATTGATTTTAGAAAATCGCCTTGTATTTGCCTATATTACAGAAAGATGGTTCTGAAAATCAAAGGCAACGTTTTTCTAAAAAACAAAAGTTATATTTTTTTAATATTTAAAAAAGATACTTGTTATTTTACAAATTAGGCAATCTGTGTATTTTGATGTTTTAATCTGGTTATAAGTAGCTGAAATTTCTTTTTCTTGCCCTGCCTGCCATATGCCAGCTGCTGGAAAGCTCTATTAGGACAAATTGAATTTTCAATAAGTCCTAGGCTGAAGCGGGAATTGGGCGATATGGGCGAACTCTCTCTGCGGACAGCACATGACATATGCTGCACTATTCCGGGGAAGAATCGGGGAAGAATCGGGAAACGACCGTTCGGACAGAGGGACAGCAATTCCGGACACCACATGGAGCCGTGCCGAGAGTGCGGCATGCACAAATCCAATAAATTGACCAATAATGAACGCTTGAATGCAGCTCGGAGGGAAGGGGCGGAGGGGGAGGGGAAAGGGAGCCAAAGAGGACTGCGCAGTGGGTTGTAACAGCAAAGTTGAAAAGCCAAAAAACAATGATGGTCAGTGGCTCTGGCCTGCGGTCCTTTGGTCTTTCGCTTTTCCTCCTGGGCTCCCGGGGGCGGCTGCAAGACAACGTCAAAGACAAGGGTGAAAGGGGCAGAAAGCAGAAAGCAGACAAATACGTAAAACAACTTGCAAAAAAATCGAAAATGAACGAAAAAATATCTTAACACGACACCAACAACATGGCAAAGCTCCAAAGGGCAAACCCCATGAATTAATCGCCTGACCTTGGCGAACTTTAAATGCTCTAACTAAATTAAGGCCAAACATAAATACAATTGCTTATTTATATCTATATAAATATAAAGTTTTAAACACTACACTTAAAGACTACTTTTTATATTTTAAATCTAAAACATGGGTAAAGGTGCTTTTTTTTTTTAATAATAAGTCAATAATTGTGACTAGTGCATTAATTTATGAGTGAATATTTATGAAGAATACTACGTTTGTGTTTTGACGAACTCGTTTCATAAAATTTTAAATTATTTTTAAGCAAAGAAAATATTTAAAGACACCCAAATTTAATTTTTTTGATTAATTCATAGAATAATATTTGGTATAAAAACAAACATTGAACGATTTAATACAATTACAAAATATTCCAATTCTGCTTTTGACGGACCAATAAATTTAAGTACTTTTCAATGTGTTAGATAAATGTTTAAATGCGGGAGTTGACAAACCAATTTATGACAATTTTGAATTTCTAAAAGAGTAAAAGTAAACCTCGAATTGTTAAAGAAACAAAGGGCTTCAAAATCTTTAAGAAATTGTTAATTTCCAAAGTTTATTTAATAAAATCATTTTTTATATGAATTAATACATAACAGAAAAGTTCGTGACCCCTAATCATTCTATAACTCTACCTCCCACAGTCGATTTGTATAGGGGAACCATTAAACCGTTCCGGGAACCATCATCCTCTGGCTGAGTAAGCCAATTCCCAGCCCCAGATGAGTGAGTGTATCCCTAATAGGAAGTGGAAAATGGGGAAAAATGGGAAAAATGAGGGAAAAGTCTGAGAAAAAATGGGAAAGATTGCTTGCTCGTTTTATTTGCCACTGACCGACCACTGGGCGATCACGATGGATGCTGCTGCCGGGTCCTGATTGCTGGCCTGGATTGTTGGCTCTCACTCTAACAACAAAATAATTCATTTTCAATTAAAATCGTATCAGTTGTTGTTGCTGGCGCTGCCATTAACCTACAACAAAAAAAAGCAACAAACCGTGGAGCGAGAAAATCACAGCTGGAATCTGTAGTCGAACAAAAGGGTTTGAAGTTTGACTTTGCTCCCTTGTGGCCAGCTTAATTGCCAGTCTAGTCCGCGGGGGCAGCTAAGGGTTAAGCCCAGGGATGGCAAGGTCACAGCCACTGATGGCTGAACAATTGCCACTGCCACTCGGAGTAGCAACCCCCACTAATCAACCCCATTCGCTCCATCTTCTCCTTCGCAGTTCATCCGCTGGTGCAAGTGCCAAATCAATTGGTCGGCGCCCCGGTCCTCACGGATGTCACATTAATTTGCAATGTCGAGGCATCGCCGAAGGCTATCAATTATTGGCAGCGCGAGAATGGTAAGTCGGAAAAACGCCACGAAAAAATCCACTTAACCCACCTAGAACAACTTTCATACACTTCCTGCTCATTTTTCTCAAAATATTTAAGATTTTTTACGGCATGAGATATATTTCCAATATATTCAACATTATATTTAAAAAAATAATTTCTTAAAACGATTCAATTATATGTTGGTACGATGATTTTCCATTTCGAAAAAATGTTTTGTTCTTTAACGAGACATTCAATAATGTTCTTCATTCATGTACAAGCTAATTATTTAAACTTAAATTAATTGTTATTATTTTAAAATTGTTATAATATTTTTTCTTTTAAATGGATGTTTAAATTCGATGGTTTTCCATTTCGAAAAAATTTTTTGATCATCAAATATTTTTAAAATGTTCTATTTTTATGTCCTTTTTTATTTTTTTTGTAATTAATTTGTAACCTGTGTGTTAGAGTATCGAGTGAGGGGGTAGTGACAACGAATTGAAGTTTTCATTTAGCATCTGCTCGAGCTGAAACTCGGACTAGTTCAAACCTTATAAACCTTTCAACACCGCAATTCGTCTTTATTTGGTTCGTGTTCGAAGCTCAAATATTCTGTCGTCACCCGGATAGGTGAAGAGTGGAGAGGCTGGCGGAGAAAAGCCCAAATGGGGGAGGGGACTTGGGTGGATGGTTCTTTTGTCAAGTGCATTTGACGTATATTGCAAACGTGACGGGCGCCGCAACGCAAACGTAAAACGCTCGACGGCAATGCCTGAAATGTCATCATCCATGAGGCTTGGCTCGTGTCCTCATCAGTGGCGTGTTCCTAGAGCCCCTCTCCTCACTTAAACCCAAGCTCATTTGCCCCGATTCCCTGCTTCGTATTCATGACTTTAGTCTCACCTCAACTCAACTCATCACATCACATCACATCACATCGCATCACATCGCATCACGTCACAACTCGTTTTCATCGTTACTCATTTCGATTTTTCTGTGCTTTTTTTTTAACTTTTTTTGGCCCGGGAACAGGTGAAATGATTATTGCCGGCGATCGTTACGCGCTCACCGAAAAGGAGAATAATATGTATGCCATTGAGATGATTCTGCACATCAAGCGGCTGCAGACAAGCGATTTCGGTGGCTACAAGTGCATCTCGAAGAACAGCATCGGCGACACCGAGGGCACCATCCGACTTTATGGTAAGCAATAATGCACAAATCAGTTGATTGACTTTATTTTAACAAATTATTTGAAAACTTCTATACTAAGGCTTTCAAAAGTTACATAATTCTATTAATCCTTTTTAATTTAAATTTTATTACAAATGACTAAGGGGAAAGTGGCGCAAATATAAATATACTATAATAACTTGGCCGGCATAGAAAATTAATGTTTATTCTGTCTACTTAGTTATAGCAATGCCATCGATAAATCTGCCAACTTATCATACAAAAAGTATTTGTTTAAAAGGATTTTAATTTATGTGTAAGGTTTTAAAGGTTTATTTAAAAGTACAATGGGTTCGTGCAAGTTTTTGGCTTTGATTAATGGCTAATTAATTATTAGTATTATGTTTTTAAACGTTAACTTTTCGTTTTCTTTTTTTTTAAGTATGAAAAACTGCTATAAAAACATATATAATTTATCAGCACTGTCTTTTCTCTCGACGTTGTATTTCCAGAAATGGAGCGTCCCGGCAAGAAAATCCTTCGCGACGATGATCTCAACGAAGTGTCGGTAAGTTGAGGCCCCCACATAAAAGCCCCTTCAAGCTCAAGAACACATGTATTCAGAGAACTTGAGCAGACCCAAAAAAAAAAAAAAAGAAAGGCAAAGAAAAGAAAAACAATCAAATCAAACAAAAACCGCTTTCGTTCGTCTCGCCCCGCAGAAGAACGAGGTGGTGCAAAAGGACACGCGCAGCGAGGATGGGTCACGCAACCAGAACGGAAGGCTCTACAAGGATAGGGCTCCGGATCAGCACCCGGCCAGCGGGAGTGACCCGCTCCTCGTCCGTGGGACAATGCAGCTAATCGGGACATTTCTATTAGCTTTATTGGTATTATTAGCGGCGATGGCGAGAGCCGGGCCCACATTGTCCTGCCGCACAAAAGGTGGCGGACAAAAGAAGGCCAAGGAAACGAGTTTGAATGGGCAGAAGGATGAGGACGAGGTCATGGATGGCCAGGCGGAAAAGTGGAGGATGTGCTGGCAGAGATCAACGCGGAGTTGGAGACGGGCAGAGTTGGCAGAGTCGGCAGAGTAAGATTATTATAGCTTAATTCAATTGTAATTATACAAACAAGATTATGATGCAAAAGACCCCGGCCCCACCACCCGTTTTCATGCCCACAAGCACACAAGCCAGGAAAAAGAGAGCATTAATCAATGGGGATGTCGAGGATGCCACCCCTAGGGCTAATCATCTACGCCCATGCTAATTGCAAACTTAGGAGGGGGGGCAGCAAGAAGGGGACAGGGCTAATTGAATGCATATTAAATCAAAAGGAGGAAGGAGAAACTAAAGTGTCGTATTTAAGTGGAAAATAAAACGCGTTTAAATGTTACCTCGTTAGTGGAAAATGATGAAATGGATGAAAAGCAAACCCCAGCCCCACAAAAGAAAAATAAACTATAAACAATATCGAGATTAAATGGTGTTCGGTTCTTTAAAATGGCTTTAGCTACTCCGAACTAAACAAAAAGTACGACTGTAAAAGGGTATTTACGTACTATAAATAATTAATACGGTAATGACATTGATACGGATATTTCTATATGTCTAAATATTAAGTGAAGTTATTTTGCTATTATTCAAGCATTAATTCGTTGGGTTTTCTGGAAGAAACATAAATATCTATATGTATTAAGTGTTTAATCAAGAGTTCTGTATATACATATATTTAAGGCCAGCTCAAAGAGACGGAAATTTTGTGGCTAAAAAGAAAATGTTTAGACGATCTTTGCAAACCGTAAACTGTAAATATTTACCCTTAGTGATCTTGACATATTTCGTTAAAAAAAAAAAAAATGATTATTGTCATAAACCCTTTTGTTGTCATTCGTTGTCGTTCTCATGGCTCAAAAGACTAATTGCGGACCCTAGACTTAAGCCAATTTTGGAATTCCTTAAAAGTGTGCGTGTGAGTTTTAGCTTAACATTCAATACTATTACTAGAAAACTAATAAACCTTTATTAGATTTGTGAACAAATTGTACCTTCACAAGACAAAATTTCTACATTCCCGATAGATACCATTGCCAGAATTAACTTCGACATTTCGACATAAATTTATGTTTTTGCAAATTTAATATTGTTTAAATTACTTGTATTATTAAATTTTAAGCTCCCCGAATTGAATAAGGAATGTTTTTTCCGTTTTTGTAAACGTTTGCTGGCCAGAAAATTATACATGTACAATTGTTAGAATTCCTTTAAATTGATATATTTTTCTTTACTGTATGGCTAATAGTTTATAATTTTCTTTAAAAACATCGCTAGAGAATAAATATATTTTTTGGGCACTCAAAATTCCGTGTCAAGACCTTGTGATTTCCATTTACTACATCCAGACTCACACACACACCAAAACCACCCATAGTCCCCACGTATATGTATATTTAATACTGATGTGTGCGTGTTCAGCTCAATTCCATGTTTAAATATAATGTAAATCAAAGAAAAGGAAATCAGAAGAAGCAGAAATAAGTGTGCCAAAAGCATCAAAAGCAACTCGCAATAAAGAAATGTGTGCGGCGAAAGTAAACAGAGGTAAATACCAAAGTAAAATGTGTGTGTTCATATCCGAAGAAATACTGTAATACCCAAACATATGTATAATCCGCATATCCAACTCCGCTCCCCAAAAAATCCGGCTAGTAAAAATTATTTGAACGCTGACTACTCAGATGTACTCTGACTCATATACGTACCAAAAATAAGAAATGTATGCAAAGGGAAAATAGGGAAGGAATACATTTTAAATATAATGATATATGAATAAAATAAAATTAATTAAATATAGGGAATATTTTTTTTTTTTTGCGGGTACGACAGTGTAACGTAATCGCCTAGCAAATCAAAGTTACGTTTAGTCTACACGAGTAAGGCAAATGAAAATAATTTATTTAAACAAACGAAATCCCAGGCGATGACGTTGTTAAAAAGAAAATTAAAATTAGTGGAAATTGCAGGCGGAAAAAGACAAAAGGCAAACTAAACTATAGTAAAACCTAAGAAATAACAAACTAAGCCAGAAAACCATTCAAATCATAAAGCATTTAATGTCTACGCTACAGCCATACAAAGATAAACCATAAACAAAAATATATAAAAATATTTGACAACTACATATGCAATGCAATGCGAATATCCAACAATTTCAAGATGTAAAACCCAAAAACGAAAGTTTGCTGCGTAATAATGCGAAATTCCACGACTCTCCAACAACAAACTAAAAAAAAATATAATAGCGTTTAGTTGGATTTGTGTTTATGTACATAAGAAATGAGCGAAAATAAATATTTGTACTGTAAAATCTGATTATACAACTGAATATTCCAAAACGCGCAATCGAAAAAACCCCCCAAAAAAAAAGAAAGAAAAAAAATGAAAAATAAAGAGAAATACCTATGGAAACCTAATAAGCTTACAATCAATTTTTAATTGAAATGGTACTCGGTAGCTGTTAAATAGTTTATAAATGCATTTTTGGGGTAAGTATTGAAATGGTCGGTAGGTGGCATAAACACCAGAAATATATTAATAATGTGTAAACTTGTAAATGATTTAACGATTTGTAGCGAAAAAAAATAACCTGTGGTCCTCACGTCAATCTCTTTTGACCAAACAATTCGAAGCAATTTATGAAGTGAATCAAACTCAAGACTGAATATAGAAAAATCCATTAAAAATATAAATTAAAATATTTTGCTAATATATATTCTAAATATTTCTTCCTCTTTTCTCCGAGTGAATTTGTCAGTGCTTTTTTCTCAATTCTCAGTTTAAAAAAAAACACCATAAGTCCCAAATCAAAGCTGGATTTTCATCCAGCGAAGATCATAATATGGACCTTCAAGCTCCATTTGTTGTATTAAAAATAAACACAAAGTTCGAATGCAAACATAAACACGAACTGAGCAAATATTTCGATGTGTGTGTGTGCTAATGTGTGTTTTGCGTTGGTCAAATGATGGTTGCAACCAGCAGTGGAACTAACTAACATTTTGTATTTATTTTAAGTTGTATTTACAAAAATATGCACACAACTCTGGCCGAGTTATTTATATTGCACAGACTCGCTAGCACACAATGCATAAAACTGTGTGACAATGTTGCCCCAGAACGTTGCACTCACCGCAACTCAACACAGAATCCGGACTCATCTCTCCGGCCGCTTCCTTGCAGCCTAAAAACGAAAATGGAAAATGGAAAAAATATCTTTGCATTTGCATCTTTTATATTCACACGACACAAATAAAGGCCAAGGGAGGAAGCGAAGATTGCGTGTATAACAATGTGCAGGGTTATGTCAACCAGAACCAGAACCAGAACCAAAACCAGAACCAGAATGAGGACGGGCATTGCCGAGGGACGGACAATGCACTAAGGAAAATCGATGCCGATTCAGAAATTCAAGTACTGATATAACGTTTCTATGTCACAGATGCCTCGCTGTCATTGCAAGTGATTTTTTTAATTTTTAATTTTTATGGAAACGTAAAGACCTTAAGTAAGTCTCCAAACTTTTTTAAAAACATAATATAACATATGATAAGTTATGTCTATTTTTGGACCGCCTTAACATGGACTTGATTATAGAATAAACGATAAATAAATAGTTTTGATAAGTTTTTGATTTTCGTTTATAAATTTCTGGTGAGCACAGTAATCCCTCTTTACTCATCTTCATGGTAAGCTACGTTTTCTTAGCTTACAAATTGTCTTTAGCTTAGCATTAGAATGATAATAAGAAACCCTATAAAATTGAATCATTATAATAAAACGATGCTTTAAAATATGTATTTAATTTAAGAGATTAACTTCTAAATATCCCCACAAAGCCATGAGTTTGTGCCCAGTGTAAGTATAAGCTGCAGAAACCCAACCGAATCCAGCTGCCTAACGATGGATACACCTTGCAAGCGGATAAGAGTCCAACATTGTTGCCGCAGTCGGTTCGCTCCATTCTTTCCTCTTGCCACTGCTAATAGTTTAAATTCATCTGCATGTCTGTGCCTGGTTTCACGCTTTATGCACTGCTAATGATTTGATGTCGTCTCCCTTTTCCTGGGGAAAAGCGGGAATCCAGGGCGAGGAAAATGTGGGCAGATGTGCGAGTAGGACAGCCGTGAATCCAGCAGCAGCCACGTGACGACGTCAAATGTAAACCTCTCCGGCTAATGCTTCTCCATCCGTATCTCCACATTCCCATTTAAATACATATATATATCTCGGATATTTCTGTACTACATATATGTACTGCCTTTTTGTGTACTGCCTTGGTTTGCAATTCACGTTGCCACCTGCACGCTGGTAAGAGAAATCGATTAGCCCAAATTATTAACATTGAAGCCACTCCAATTGAGCTGGCAAATAAAACACGATTCGAAAGTGCTACCGGCCGAGACAAAATAAAAGCATCACCGGACGGTAGAATCCTAAAGAACGCTAAGTCGAGTTGCTTAGTTATGTAGTTAAGTTATGTAGTTAAAAAAAAATCTTTAGATGGGATCGAAAAGAATAAAAAATATTGTATTATTGAATCAGTTAGCTTACAACATCATTTTTGTGAACAAACGGGTGCAAACTGAGAGCGACACTATATGTTTACGATTTTGTTCGATTTTTGTGAAACTGGCAAACAAATTGTTCTTAAATCAAGAAAATTGTTCTTGATTTTTTCCGTTCTTTTTTTTTCTAGGTATAGATATTTACATGGAAAAGATAAAAAAAAAAAATTAAATTTTTTATTAATAAATTCCTTAAGAAACAATACAGGAGGATTTAAAATATAATTACTCTGATGTGCTTTATCTACATGGTGGATAAATACAAGTTTCGTATTTAAAAGAAGTACTAGTAAATAAATCCATTTTGGTGTAGATATCTTTCGAATTTCGCTTGAAGAGCTATTTTAAGCCGATCGGTAAGTTGCGTATGAGTAATAAATTATAAAAATTGCGTATACGTAAAAAGACAAAAAAGGCCGTGTAAAAGCAAAATATATATACAAAAAAAATAAAATTATAGGATGAAATGAAAAAATATAGAATGAAAATAGTAGTGGCGATTGAAGGAAAAATGGTGAAACTAACGAATGGGGTAGCGAATGTTTATTTATATCTGTAAAAATTGCTGACCAACTTTAACGTAACGTGCCCGCTTGTCCAGTCGTTTTCCCGCTGCCCTTTTATTTTTTTGTTGTTCTTCGTACTTGTTTCTTTGCACAGCGAGTTCACATTTGTTTTTTGCAGTTGGCGCAAATATTTGAGGATTTTAATTGTTTGTATTTGTGAGAGAGGAAGATAGGGCTAGAAAAAATGCAGCAACAATACAGCAACAATACAGCAACAAGCGACGGAAAAAGAAGAGCGAAAATATTTGAACAATTCCAAAATGCGATAGTAAAGTGTTTTAAGCGGTTTTTGTTTGAATGTGGCGAAGGGGTTTTGTAAGGGGTTTTCCAGGGGGTCTTACTAGGGGTTTCCTGGGGGTTATTGCATACTTTTAGGCTCTGCTGATGGTTTGTTTGCCAGTGTGAGTGCCTGCGTGCTTGTGTGTTTGTGTGCTTGTGTGTTTGTGTGCTTGGCCTCCTGCATCCTGTTTACACTCACATGTGCATTTATTTACTGTGCGCATGTTTTATTGTTAACATTTAAAATATTTGCGCCTGCATAAAATTTGACCCGTCATTTCATTCTTCCCGCTTGCTTTTTCCTTCTTTCGGTTTCATTTGCCCTTTTGCGGCCTTTTGTTGTTTGTTTACTCGTTTGAATATGCTTATTTACTTTTCGCTTTTTGCTCCCCTTTTTTTTCCCAATTGAAATCTACCCGCTTTGTGTTTTAAATCGTTTAAGCATTTAGTTTGTTTGCCATTTGCAACTGCCAGAAATTAACAAATATATAAAAGACAAACACGCGTTGTTTGACGCAAAGAAGTTGCATGTCCTGTTTTGTACTATGTTTGTTTACTTGAAAATTCCACGGAAAAAATTGAAAAATTATTGGCATTACATTTTTTACTTATTATTATTCAAACAAAAACACCTCTTAACGAGGTTAAAAAGCCGCGACGAAAAAAATCAAAATCGAGTATAACTTTAAATATTCAACTTGTATTTAGATGGCCACGCCCACCGACAGCGAAACCGCCCCCGGCGTGATTGCATGCTAGCCGGTGAAATTGGGAATAATGGAAACGGGTATACGGCATGTTGCCCAGGAGCACTCGACCTCGTGCTCTCAGCCAACAAAGGACCTCATATGTCTGTGTTGTTATTGTTGCTGCTGTTGCTTTTGCTGTGATGCAAGGATGGGGGCGTGGCTAGAAGGGAATATGGGGAAATCCGACGGAACAGACAGACAGTCAGACAGACGGACAGACAGACAGACAGACATTGAAGCAAACGGAAAACCTAAATTTTCAAGCAGCCCCACATTAATGTGGAGCACATTAGTGCACGTAAGTGTATTAAGGATAATGGATGCACTCATAGATATTTTGCCATGAGTAGCAGGAGGGCGGGGCGGAGCGGGTCAGATGGGGGGAGTGGCAATCGGGCGGTGGGTGCTGTGGCCTGATGAATATGCACGTGGGCCGCGAGGAGGGTGCTTGAACAGCAGCGCGAGTCATCCAAGAATCTGCACGTGAACCCGTTTGGGTTTGGTTGGGTTAAAGCACACTTCTATGGGCGAGTTTGCCTAGATAAATTATATTTAACTGCGGGTCTAAGTTCTTCTCTATTATACTGTATTAAAGTGGTATCAAAATGCTAAAATGCATTCTGTGAAATTGAACAGGGTTTTTTATATAATAAAAGGCCTACAAAAAATGTCTCAAAAAAAATCTGCCTCAAACTTCCTATGCTCCACAAACATATTCGCTATCAACTCATAAAACTCGCAATATCCATTGGCGAATAAATAAATAAATAAATAAATAAATAAATAAATAAATAAATAAATAAATAAATAAATAAATAAATAAATAAATAAATAAATAAATAAATAAATAAATAAATAAATAAATAAATAAATAAATAAATAAATAAATAAATAAATAAATAAATAAATAAATAAATAAATAAATAAATAAATAAATAAATAAATAAATAAAAAAATAAATAAATAAATAAATAAATAAATAAATAAATAAATAAATTAATTAATAAATATCAATGCTAATCTAAAATAAAACACAAAAAAATAAAAAACAAAAAATTCTTTCTCACCTTGAAATATCGATAAATAATAATACAATTAGTTATTTAAAAAAAAATATCTCATTCTCAAATCATTATAAAACAACAAATAAATCTCAGAGTTAAATGATTTTTAATTTTAATTTAATTTATTTTAAAAGTTCTTTCTAACGCTACAAGAATAATACTATAATTCAATGCGCTAGTCACACAATTTAAATAAATCGACAATA